GTTTTTTATTTGATAACCATAAAATGTATTTTTTTTTTTAAATACTTAAATACTGAATGTTAAAAACAGCCATATCCCCCATTATGACAAAATCCTTTGACCGCTACTGGGGGTCAGCACTTAGCAATCACTCGATTATCACTTACGTTATATTAAACACTCTTTTATACTTTATATACTCGTATACAAAGTACAGCGTTCATTAAGATTTAGCGATAAAAAATATACAATTTTCAGATGGAGAAATTATATAAGAAAAATATAAATATAGAATTTAATATTATGGTGCATGTAATGATATACATAATATACTTAAATAACTTAAATAACTACCTACCATCCTCTCTATGCAACTTGCTGATCTCTTGGGAAAGGTTGGTGACCCCAGTTCTAGATGGAGCGCTGTAATTTACGTAAAACCTCAGAACAATATAGAATAAACACTCGATCAGCTGATCTGGTGCTGTATCCCTACGGTATGAAGTGTTGGAAATTGTACCGTATCTGTAATCTGATAGAATGTTGGAAACGTGTATCCCTCATAGTTACAAAATTATAAAAACGGAAACAACGCAATGGCCAATGCCTAATAAGACCCATTGGTCCTTTGCTAGACTATTTCCTCAGGTTGCATTAAACAGTCTTTTTCAGGACCACAAAATATATTTACAACTACTTTAATTATTAAGCTTCAATACTAATGTATATAACCCTYATTGCGTACATTTTTATTCTGTGTACCTAATATACATTATCATTATTTTTTTTTTTAGCGATATTGGTTCTATTATGCTGAATAAATAAAATACATTGTTACTACCTATATTTTTAAAGTGTTTGTTCTTTAAACCAAGTATTTTATTCTAAGTCTAATGTAACCTATAATAATATCGTTTCAATCGTTTCATCTGAGAACATAACAATAAGAATTATTATTTATAATAAATTTATTTTTTTAATTTTAAAAACATCAATATTAAATCTTGGTAAAATGAATAAGTTGTTCAATGTTCAATTTTTATTTGACATTAGTTTATTATTCTGTGTGATTATAATGATATGATTAAATCATAATGATTTATTTAAGTGATAAAGTATGCCACATCTCCCTAGAGACCGTGTTCAAGGCCACACAGTCACTCTATTTTGCCGACACACGCAGTGTCTATAGGTACCCCGGTAAAATTCAAAATGATTTTGGTTTTCAGAGACATAAAATGTGAAAACTTGTTGATGGACACCAATTACAATATTAAGTTATCGGATTTCGGGTTTGCTCGAAACAATATGATTAAGAAAAACGGTCAGATGAAAACGAGCAGCACGTTCTGCGGCAGTTACGCTTACGCATCACCAGAAATATTGAAAGGCATACCCTATCAACCCAATACCTCTGACGTTTGGTCTATTGGAGTAGTGCTTTACGCCATGGTATTTGGAACTCTGCCCTTTGACGATACAACTTATCAAAAGTTACTGAAAGTAGGTACCAAATTGTTTGCAGCATTATATAATGTATCGATCTGCTGTCTTAAGTGCCGTGGTGAACTCGTATTATATTACTGSTGATAAAAACCATGAGCCCGTATAGACCAATTTTTTAAATTTGGTTCTATTTGCTCGAGATCTGAGAGTAAGTTGTGTTGGATTGAATAATTATTGGTTGGGTTAATATTAAATAGTTACTCTACCTCGGGGTTCTAATTGTATTACTCTCACCACGCCACTGATTATGTGAGTAATAGACAATTGATGTACTGTCAAAAATTATTTAGCGACGAATATTTGTTTTTCCTATTTTTTTTTTTTTTCACTAGCAAGTGCAAAAGCCAGTTTCATTCCCTCGAGATGTAATTATTCCCGATACCTGTAAACAGATGATAATACAATTACTAGCACCATTGAAGGTCCGTTTGAACATATCAGATATTAAAATTCAGCCGTGGAGTCAACAGCAGACAAATAATAATCCTAATGATAAAAATGAACCTAAACAGACTTAACGGGTAACTAAAAAGAAGATATTAATAATTATGCAGTACAAGTAGTATTCAAGAGAGTTGTAAACGGACCTGTTTTTAAGGAATTTAATATAGGCAATTTACGAGCGCATGTKTTCCGTATAAAATTAATATGTGGAAGTGGATACTCGTATATTRYAATTCCGCAAACTGACTACTTTTATACTTTTCAAATGTATTCAAAATACGAAATTTAATAATTTTAAAATATTGAAAATACATTTGTTGAAATAAATGGAGAAAAACTGTAGGTCCCCCCACCCTAACAATAAAATAAGATGTTTCTAGCTACGGCACTGATCGATTGACTAAGTTAAATTAACAGAATTACATGCTGTTTTTATTTATAGTCTGTAATTATCTTTTTCTTGCGACATTAGCCCTTTTTCTCTACTACCGCACCATTTTTTAACAATCTTTTTCTATCAGTATTGGCTCACTTTCTCTGCTATCAGACCATTTCTTTGTAAGTCTATAACGCAGAATARTCTGTGTCTATATTGTGTATTTGTGTGAGTAGTAAATGATCATATTATTAYAATGTACATGCAACGCCTATCACATAATATGGTGTGCTGCCCGTATACCCATCAAGCCTGTCTCACTATATCACTACCATATGCGCCGCCAGGAATTTTGTCAGGGGGGTGCATCGTGCATAGTATACACTATACTTTAATTTCTGAATAATGTTTAAATTATTTTAGTTAAATACGTAGAAATATTTTTTCAAATTATACGACGATACAAAGTTATTTCTGTTTTTACGTTGGATGTAAAGTTTTATAAAGATAATTATGCAAAAAAATCTTTTCAATACCATAATTTTTTTTTTTTTTTTAAGCCAGGGGGTGCAATTGCACTGGCGCCCTTGGTCACTACCGAAACTTTCGAGCTCGAGAACGTTTTTTCTTCACTGATATTACATATACTATTTTTTCCAACATACCTACTAGTGCTACTCACTTTTATATTTACCTGATAATTCTATACTGAATACACATACGATTTCATGATTATTTTACTTAAGAAAGATTTTCCGTTATTATTTTACATGGAGCTTACCCATAATTTATTATAATAATCGGTTTTACAATATAATGAACAACATAATAATATGTGGTATGTTATTAATCTATAATGACTATAATAAAATCAATTTTATAAATTTTTAGTCTGAAATCAACTTCCATTTGTTTTTACTTTAAAAGTATATAGGTCCGAACCCGTCGGTTAAATAAGGTAGAAAAACATTCTCTTGCTTCTTGTATTTACTTAGTGCGACACGTAATWATTTTAAATCCGCTCGGTGGAAAAAAATCATGTTATAATTTTTGTGGTTTATCATCCTGTGCCWCGCACGATTGGTGCGTATAGGTATAATGTCTGAAATAAATAATTCTTAAGGACCATTTTTTGATTTTTAATTATTATTAATTTGTGTTAAATTATATTTATTTAATATAGACTGATTGATTCCTCGAGAAGAAATTAAGTAGGTRCCTATTAGATATTGGTAAAATAACTAACGGATTAAAATTGTACAACACCTAAAAGCACATCAATGTAATTTTATAAATACAATAACAAAAATTTTTATTTATATGGGCAAAAACTGATTGTTTTGTTATGCTTATACACTTTTTACATTTTAGTCGATATTCGTTTTTCTGTTTTTGCAACACATTAAGGTCGAGCTGGGCTACCTACTATGCTACTATTCTACAGCACATTGGGCCGCAGGCTATGGTTATGTAAAAATAAGCACAAGGAAAATAAAAATAAGAAAAAACGGGAATTTTCACGCAAAATCGATTTTAGATATTGGTGTAACTCTAAAACAAATTCCCTTAAGACACATGAAATATTCACTGAATGTTTATACTGGTATGTTCTATACTTGATGAAATTTTCAAAATATTTCAAATCTTTTATGACATTTCAAATTTTTAATCTTTTTAAATTTTTTATTTATAAATGTCAATAAAATGTTATTCGTTTGGTCAAAGACGTCAAAATGTAATACAAGACTCTATTAATATATTGTAACCATGTTAGTTAAAAAAATGTTAAAAATACATTGTCACAATTTAATTTTTTAATAAGCATTGAAAGTTCAAATTTTGACAAAATAAGTAAAAATTAAGAAAATGTGCAATTCATTTTGAGATAAAAATAAAAATTTATCTATTTATTTCTAAGTGTTGAAAATTCAATACAAAATTCTTCATGAGTTTGTCTACTTTTATCAAATAAAAAATATCTACTAAACTTACAACATTTAATATCAATCAATTTCTCTTGTACTAGTTGTACTGATATTCTGATTTTATTATCGTTCAAAAATGAATAACTGTAGAAACTTGATATTTACACCATATTTTTATTTTATTAACTCCTACTTGATAACATTTTAAAAATATTTCAACAATTTTCTAAGACAATTAAAGAAATTTAAAATTTTCCATTTTTTAAGTTTTTTATCCTATAAATGTCAATAAAATTTTATTTGTTGGGTACAAAAACTTGAAAGTTTAATACAAGTTTCCCAAAAGTTAACATAATAGCAGTTGTAAAATATTAAAAATATATAAGTAAGATTTTTTTTTTATAACCATTTAAAGTTCAAATTTGGACATCATTTATTCAATTGAAAATTAATAAATTATTTAGTTGTTAAAAATGTATAAAACTTTTTTTAATTGTATAGCTAAGGATTGTTTATGTTATAAAAACTTGTTTAATTTACTGTAAATATGTTGATATTCATTTTTACGTTAAGGTTTCAATTGTGTAGACAATAATAAACAATGATAGATTTTAAGTTCAAGCATTTAGTTAGGTATAATATAGAATATAAATATAGATGCCTCGTGCCTGTTTTCGTAAAATATTTCGATTTCATTGAGTTAAACAAAATGTCATCCATAACATTATTTGTTTGTTGTCTTAAATCATTTCTCACATTAGAAAAAGCATTTAGTATCCGTTTTTCTGTGAGTTTAGGGAMTTCTTCGACATGTTTTCCTTCGATTTCATCATATTCTTCTTCTCCTTCATATACACCATAATTTTTTTTTCAACCTTTTCCACAATACTTAATACTATAAAAGTACAAAGTTACCACATTTAAAATGAACATTTTTTCAAAATCATACAAAGTGCCAGTGAGATGTATTATAATATACAAAGTAACCATCTAATGCATAATATGGGTCTATATAGATAGAAGCCACCTCTAGTGATCTAATCTCCTTAGAAATATTTCTATTAAAATTAATTAACACTAGAACATAATATACATTAAGAGATTCAATTATATTAATTTATAATATCACATATATAAATATGTATACAAAATTAAATATTCAAATTTTTAGTTTAAAAAAATAAATCAATCAACAATTATTGATGTTCACGAGAAAATGTTTTAAAAAGAGATCAAGTTGTTAATTTTAGTTATATAATCTGACTTGGTAAAAATTCAGTCTCGTTAAAAAAAAATAAAAAATTCAATATTTATAATGTATA